ACCAGGATTCTAATAATGTTTCCATGAGATTACATATACAAGCTTCCTGGATCACAACAGGGACCGGAAAAGGACCACAATAGATAGGAAGGGAAAAAGCACTCAAGTAGATGGGTACAATTTTTCTTTACCCCTAATAAGACGATTAGAGAGGTACTTTTGCCTGCTATGCCCATGCTATTTCTTCTCTGCAGCCAGTCAATCACGAACTAAAATATGAGCTTAATGAGACATTTCTTCCTTTAATGGCAAAGAAAGTGACTAAGACAGCTGCCACAGCCAAGATAACACGTCCATGTTAAGGCAGGAGGAGCTCAAAGATAAGTATATATTGAAAAAGGGGAGAGTGTTGCTCCCGCTACATCGGTCACATCTTTCCAAAAGTCTGCAGAAGATCTCCTCCTATTAGCTAGAAATGTGACATGTGACATGTGACATCCATGGTTTCAAGGAAGCTCATGAGGGTCTCACAAAGAGAAATAAGGTGTCATGCTTGACACACATCAATCATAACTCATGGCTCAAGGGTGACACACTATCACTGCAAACAAAACTAAGGTTCTGATAACAAGAAAGCTGAAAGAAGTGCATGCTGGCTTTGAAGAATGATGACTGCGTAGAATCTTAAAATGATTCTGGCACAGATACGGCCATGTAAGCAATAAAGATAGGATGGGAGAAAGCTTTCTACTAGATGGATGCAACTTTTCGTTTCCCCTAATAAGATCTCTAAAATTATCACACAACTGGTACATTTACTTTTGTCAACAAATGAATTCAGACTCATAATGTTATAATTATGTTCTTTACCCCACTAATTATAAAATAAGATACAGACAGCATTTGTAGATTACCTGCAAAAAGACACTCAAATTTCAGTGCCTACTAAAACATAATTTCTGTTGGAAGTTAGAATTGCTCATCTTTAGTTGTATTTCCCAGTCATTCATCCATTTCAACTCACATCTCATGTGTGCTTTAGCACATAGAGTAATTCAATTGTGATTCTAGTCTACATTTTAATAGAACAATAAAAATCATTCTTCTCCCAAAATATGAGGACATCAGAACAGCTTCACAGATATATGAATCACACAATATTAGCTTAGAACCAGAGCTGATAGCCAGGCTCAAATGACATGCCTTTAATTTGTTACCTCAGTAGGAATTCTAATAAATATTTTACAACAGAGTTTAGTATTCTCAACAAAACAGGATGAGTAGGATACCGTGGCCTTCTCCCCTGGGATAGTCCTACCGTAGTGTATTTATCTGCATGAACCAAACCAGACGTACCGCTTCTGCCAATCTAAAGTTCGGAAAGGGAGGAAGCTACACACTCCTTTGTTTGGAAATGTACACATGATCAGAATTTGATCATAAGAGGTTCCTTGGAGTTTTCTAACAATAGATCAAATGTTGCCTGCTCTGGGTGGGATGCCTGGATCGGCCTTAGCCATGTTGTTATAGCTTTATGTTCACGTCATAATTACATACTTCACCTGCCCCACAACTGTAACACAAAATATGACAGAGGGATAGGAAGATAGTTCAGAGGTAAATCATCATTTTTAAGACTTCCTGGGCTCCCTAACATAATAAAATTCTCTTGCTATAGATGTTCATAGAACCTAATTCTTTTATATATAATCCCCTTTACATTTGCATTTTTATTGTTTGTGATTATCTGGTTACTGGTGATTCAATTACACTGAGCCATAAGCTTTATAAGCAGGAGTTTTATTTATTTTTATTCATCAATTATATGTTCAGCCTTTTAGTGGTAGACTAATTCTCTTTCCTGAAAAGTTACCTTGAGAACTGGGTTAGTAGTTTCAATTTTAATTTTTTTTTACTATTTAGTGAGTGGTCCTGGAGGTCAAACTCAGTGCTTAACACACACTGGGTAATTGCCCTTCCACTGAGCTACACACTAGCCCAGTCTTTAGTCTCTGGAAGAAAAATCTCCAATGTTTGCCAAATCTCTTCTAGGAAAAAGTCTTCATTTTCACTTTCTATGGATTTTCTTCTTTATATTGATGCTCTTTGAGGTGATGTATTATTATTTTTTTTTCAGTGTTTCTATAAAATCTAACAAAATAGTTTGGAGGCCTTAAAGCAGTTTCTTTTGGCTTTCTGAGACAATGTCTTGCTAGGCAATTGAGGCTGGCCTTGAACTCAGCATAACCCAGTCTGGCTCAAACTTGCAGCCTTCCTGCTTCACAGTGCTGTGATTGTAGGTATTTGTGAACATGCCTGTTTTGAAGCAAAATTTAATTGAGTAGTTATCAAATATTGGATATTCTGTGATGCTTGATAATGTATGCTAAACATCGAGTGGATGCTTGGGAGTGTGTTATTTGGGAGAAGATGTTGCATCAAACTGTCTTCAGTCTCTAATTTACTGCCTTGTATGTACATCATGGATACTTTATAAATGTGATTTGTAAATTTTATTTATCTTAGGGAGTGGAAACATGTACATATCTTCATTCTTTTTATTCCCCTTCCTCTCCTCTCCCTCCTTGCATCTCTAGATTCCATTCTCCCTTTTTTTAAAAAAAATTTTTTAAGCCAGTCAAATTTAGCAGTGTGTGTGGGGGGGTGGTAAACCAACGTTAGTGACACTAATGTTAGTGAGTTCTGATAACCCACTGCCATCGGACCAGACTCCCATTTTGCTTTTCCTTCTTTTTTTAGTTCATGTTTGTGAGACAGTGATGTAAACTCATTGTGGGTAGTTAAAACATGTAAATGACACATTTTAAATGTTTTATAATCCTTTTCCATCTCCACCTTCTATCTTGGTCCCCTTTCCATTTGCAAAACATCTATCTTCCTTTTTTTTTTTTTTTTTGGTACTGGGGCTGGAACTCAAGACTTTACGTTTGCCAAGTAGGCACTTACAATGCCGCTGAGCTAAACCCCTGGCTCCCTGTTTCCTTTTATCAGTCTTATGCTTTGCTCTGTATTTTTACTTTGGATTTTTCTTGTGAGACAAACCATGATATTAAGCTTGTATGGCAGATTCTTTTTTTTTTCACTTAACATGTTTTCACGGTACATCCTTTTTCCTACAAATGACTCAAATTTATTCTTCTGTATAGTAGAAAAGTGTTCCATTATGTATAGATGCTACATTTTCCTTATCCATTCTCTATTGTTGGACATATAGGCTGCTTCCAAGATTTAGGTATGAATTGTGCCACTGTACACATTGGTATGCATGTGTTGCTGTAATATGATGTCTTTCACTTCTTTGGGAGGGTACCTTGAAAGAGAACAGCTGGGTCAAATGGAATTTATAGTTTGTTTTTTGAGAAATCTGCATACTAATTTCTGCAATGGCTGTACTACAAACATTGTGGGAGGCTTCTTTTTCCACTGCAGCCTCACCAGCATTTGTTATTTGATTTTTTGATGATACATTTTCTTTCTGGAGTAAAATGAAATATCAGTGTTGTTTCACTTTGCATTTGTCTAATGGTTCACGATGTTGAACATTTTTTTCATATATTTATTGCCTACTTGTATGTTTTCTTCAAATTAATAAGGAGTCTCTAAGAAACTGAGGCAGAATGGTCAGAGAAGAGCCACCAAGAAACAGTGATATCCATCAAATCCAAAGAAAAGAAATTTGCCCAAAGAGAATTATTAAACTACCATCTGTTGAACAAAGATCAAGTCAGATAATGCCTGTGAAGTACTCAGCAGACTGAGAAATAACTGGAGGTTGATGACTTTAAAAACTGGTATTTTTAGTTATGATAAAATATTCCAGTTGCTTGAAACATAAACAGGAACTCAAAGAAACTGAGAGAAAATCTTTTCATCGGTCATTGTCTGCTAAAGGGAAGCAAGAAACAGAATGAGGAACAACTTGCTGCAAGTTTTATTTCTTTTCTTTTAATATATAAAAGACTAGAAAATGCCTAAAAGTCAACGTGGAAAAGCCACAAATAAAAGTGAAAGTCCTAAACAGCAGGAATGGGATATCCAGAACTTGGGACAAGATGATAATCATCTTTTCTATTGAAAAAAAAAAAAGTGAAGGAAATGAATGGGTATAAATGAAGTAAATTTGGAGACCTGGTGGAAATAATCTGAGCAAGTTTCCATTTTATGGTTTCTTTTCTCTGAGAAAATAGGAGACAGAATATCTATCTGCTGAGAATGAAAAGGTGGGGAAGTTGGTCAGCAGGTGAAAGATGTTTTAAGAGCTCCTGCAGCTGAGAGTAGTGACACGGCTAGTTGGAAGGACGAGGCAGGAAAATCACCTAAACTCAGAAATTGGAGGCTAAGCCAATGTAGCAAGACCAAGGTTCACCAAAATAAAGAAGTGAAGAAAGGAAAGGGAGGGAGGGGAGAGTTGGTCAGGCGGGCGGGCAAAGGGTGGGGCGGGCGGGGCGGGGCCAAGGCGACCCCCCCACAGACGGCGGGCTGCAGGGAACTGCCAGGCAAAGCTGGGAACATGAACTTGTAATGGCACTAATTTTTTCCAGTAGTAAGTTTTCTCTAGGAACTCTTAAAGAGAAAAGTGGTTCTAAAAATGCCTTTAACTCACTTCTCCGTTGAAAATGTGTATCTTAAACTCAGGTTCAAAATTTGTGGTGGAAATATCATTTATGTGACTATTACATGTAGAAATTATAGTAAATCCAAGACTAAAGGTAAGAAGTTATTGGTATGATTCAAAATATACAGAAGATATGTTTATTTTTTTAAAATGCCTGAGAATGGCAGTGGGAAACTTTTTGTTTGCTAGCTTGCTTTTTGGTACAGGGAAACCATAATGATTATCAAAGGCAAAACCTAAAATCCATACTTACAGACCCCTTGTGGTAGCCTATTAACTGGAACATGAGCTCCCAAGTGCATTATCCCGTCACTTTGGGGAATGTGCAAAAAAAAAAAAAAAAAAAAAAAAAAAAAAAAAAAAATCCAGAACAGAAAAAGGGACATGAAAGAGAGAAATTCAGAGGAAAAACTCTTTAGAATGATTGTTTTCAAAACAGATAGAGCATTCTCTCCTTTATTACCTTACAAATTAAGCCAAGTCCAGGCTCTAAAATCATTAGGCAGAGATGACAGATTATGCTTAATCTCCAAACCAATCCATATTGTTTTCATTTTTCCCCTCCTATGTACAGATTTGCAGAAGCAGCTGGAGGTATTAATTATCTAATCATTGATACTTGTCTCTTTATCTATTCCCTTCATAAAGACCTACTACGAGAAATTCTAGGACAAGAGACCAGGTGAATTCACATGGGGTACAGGTGGTGGGTACAGTGATTCACTTAAAGAGAAATAAAGGTGAAGAAAAAAGGTGTGAAATTATTCAAATTTTTAAAAATATTCACAAAACAATCTTTAGGTACTCAAAACATATTCTAGTTCTCTAAAATTGCTTGCTACAAACTTCTTGATAAATACCACTTCTTCAATTCTCCAATGTTATAGGCTGATAGGCCTTTGACTAATAAACATTAACTTTTGTGGAAACTTCATAGTCTGAATTACTTTATTTGAACTCATAAAAATAGTTTCTGATGGATTGCTGGCCTAATTTTCTCTGGGTTTGGAGAATCCAAAAAAGTACACATTTTTACATTCTGCAAGGAAATTACAAATAGAAATGAATGCTACTTCCCTTTATGAACAGGCAGCAACTCATGAAAGAATAAGAATTATGTTTTGTGGAGAGAGACTCTGAGAAAATTGATTATGGAAATCCACAGACATTAGTGATTAATGTTCATTTTGTAATTATTTTAGTGGCAGAAATTATGGTGGTTACACAAATGATTTTTCTCCTGTAGTCTTTTTAAAAAAGGTTTTACAGACATACATAGTTTATTGAATTCTGCAAGGAACATTATACCTATAATTATATTTAACAATTGACTTCATTTTGAACATTCTACATCTATCCATCACTATTGTAACTTTCTATATTTCATGTTGAAATAAACTGTTATTTGAAGGTAAAAAACTTTTTCCCAAACCCCTTCCTGATGATATTTCATGCGTTGCTGACTTTTTCTAGCCACCACAGCACATTCAACTAATTATCTAAAGAGACCAGCCTACAATTTGTAATTCCGGTGCCTCCTTCCTGGCTCTAACTGCGAGTTATCAGACCTCATTAGACAGACTATAAATATCCCATGAATAATTTCTTTACATTCTCATACCTGCCCACCTCAAAACTGGAATGTTTTTCTGCATATTCAAACAATTTCAAAATATATTTCCATTACAGTTTTTAAAATTCTTAACTCATCTTTCCATAGTATAAAAACTTTAAAAGCTATCAAATCGTGTTTTCAACCTTTCTTAAAATGAAGATCTATATAAATAATGTTAATATGTTGTCCAGTTTAAAGTAAAATGAGGCTCCTTGTTTAAGAGTCCACATATATCAAATTTCAATTTTATAATGCCATTTAAGGAACAAAAAGCACCCATACTTGATTACTATTAGCATCAGAAAATGATATTTGGGGAAAAAGATACTATTCATTTTATAACTGCTCTTTTGAATTTAAAAAATGGTGGCAAAATATTTTTGCACTATTGATAATATTACAGGTCAAACTGTAAATGATTTTTTAAAAAAATTATTATTTTAGTATGAAGATTTGCTTTTAGCAACTCTAATGAGCACTGATTACATGCCAAGTGTTGTTTGGGGCATTGAGGATTCACATATGAAAACTGTAAAAATGTTTCCTACTTTTCCACCTCCATAAAGCATATGTTTTATCTTATTTACATTAGAAAACACATAAAACAGCAATAAAACGTTTTCAAGGTGTGGATATCCTAGAATCCGGGTTGAAAAGGAGCACCAATCCCAAGATGTGTATCATTTTACATTTTGACATCTCTAAAATCAGTCATATCTTACAATGTGGTCAGATCAGTAACCACAAAGATGAAGCTGTCATTTCCTGAGATGTGACAAATGAGTATGAAAAGCTTGGAAGAAGGGTGCTTTTACCACTGTGAGTTCTTGATGACTCAGCATTCAATAAAATACAATAGTTCAAAGTATTTTTATTACATGTGAGGAAATAAAATTCAGAGAGCTTAAGTCACATGTCCCAAAGCAAGCTAGACAGAGTCCAGGTCTGTGTTCCATTTTCATTCTTCTACCAAGTGTTACGGTGAGACAGAGATGTCATATAAGTAGATAAGAATATCGCTGTATTTCTATGACCATGAGCAAGGAATTCACTCCTTCTTTGCCTTGGTTACTCCATCTGTTAAAAAAGTAAGTCTCACAGTGTTACTCTAGGTACTAAGAAAATGTATGTATAGGACTTACTGCAGAGATTGGCAAATGCTGAGTGCTCCATAAATGCCACCTGCTTGAGATCAAATTTTATATTCAGTAGAACATAATTTAAAGTTATCTTCAATTACCCCACAACTAAATGAGGCCCACATCTAGGTATAGGAAATCTAGAAATACTAGAAAATTGAACAGACTGCTAAAATGTTTAAACTAATTAATATAATAAAAATTTCCACCTTAACAGTGGTTTGTCCTGGTAGTGTACCGGAAATTATTAGACTTACCTGCAAGAAAGCATACAAAAAAAGTTAAGAATCCAAGCCATCTGACCATTAAACCCTTTAATGTCTATAAATACATTTATAAGCACAATTTGGATCAACTCAACATTTACCACAGATTTGATCACAGCTTGTAAAGACGCTCAAGAAAAAGGACTTCCAGAACTGCTTTGGAAAGTGGCAAAAACAGGGATAGGTGTGTTTGAAGTGGAAGGTAGGTTATTTTAAGGGGGATTAAACAGCAACATTTTTTACTGTAATAAGTGTGTTAAAATTTAACTACTATGTATTTTCATCACTCCTTGTATAATACATACACATGTACAAGAAACACAAGTTCTAGAAGTTAAAATGTACCATGGGAAGACAATTTGTTCAGAAGATGAGATAATAACTCATCCTTATAGTACTTATATATATTAAGGTGATTTCTCATCCATTACCAACTTAGTGCTTTGCATTTGGTATATAGTTATAAAAAGAAAATCAAAGTGCTTTCTAATAGCTGTTACTTTCTGTCGAAATAATGAGATGTTCAGAAAATAGGCAAAGGTCTACATTCCTCCCTCCTACCCCTGCCTTAAGCCTTTCTATATCAGCTCTTCACTTTGGGGAGCTTATGTGAAAATCTAAATTACAAAACACTATGATATAGAGTTAACTTGCTTTAAATATTAGTTTATATATTTTGTTTCTATAAATAGTAACTGTATTTCTCAAATCAATTGATTATGTATCGCAGGCAAATAAAGAAGTTTCAACTGAGACTGAATCCCACATAGTTAAGTGCTTAAAAAAGTAATTTTACTTACTAGGAAGAGTTAATGAATCAACTCACACTTGTTCTTGTTTCATTTGATGATAAAACCTGAAGGTGAACTTCTGGAGAAACAAACTAATATACCCAAAACTAATGTATTTTCAGAAGCTTCTGGAAATTAGTCTTATTATGAAAAAATCTGACGTCATCCTCTTACAACTACACATCAGCAAAGTTCAAGAATTTTCTGAATATTTTCAATATTAATCTATTCTCATTAGTTACTTTATAAGAATGATTTTGTTAAATTCTCGCAAGCACCAACACATCCCAATTTAAACCTTAAACTATCACATAGCTCAACATGTGAACTTTGTCTATTAATTCTGAAACGTAAAACGCAGCATTACTTGCTTGAATTTAACTACCCTGCTCTATATCCATCCTTGATATTTTCCAGGATTAAAGTTTATCTAAAATGTCAGGCTGATTGCATGTAGTTGCATCAGCTATAAAGAGTCTTTCTTACGATCAACTCCGAATATCTCGGCTGAAATGATAAAGACTAGGTTAGTCAATGGGGCAGTCAGCTGCCGGTTTTATTAGAGAAGTACCCTAGCGTCTGCTGCCCGGGAGACAACAGCGGGCCTCATTTCTCCCGATTCAGGCCTCCGGCCCGCCCCTTCCTCCCAGAATAATGTCGCGCTGCCAGCCCAGCGCTGTGTGAGGAGAACAAAATCTTTGCACAAAGGTGGGCTGGGTGGGAAGTCCCATTCTGCCACAAGAGGCGTCTTCTCCAGAAAAACTTAGCAAGTTACTAGGAAGCGGGTAAAGTTCCTAGAACCCTGTCGCCCGGAAGTCTCATTCCTTCTTGAAGCCCAGTCTCGGTGCGCTATCTAGGAAACTCTAGACTCCACTCCCTCGCGGGGCCTCACTGGCGGCAGCCATGACACTTGCATCCGGGTATTCCACGTCCTTTGTTCCCCGGAAATGACGCAGCGCGGAAGGATCCGCGCTGGGCCGGGGCAGACAGAGGTGAAGGGGCTTCCGGAAGCGGGTACGGTGGAACCCGTTGGGGGAGGGCGGGTGGCGTATTGCAGTCTTAACGCCAAGCCGTACGTTTCTGCGTTTCAAGCATTGTGTTGAACGGCAGGTTGTTGTGCTATTTTACCCCTTCAGTAACTGCAGAAGCTATTATCATATCTATTTTATATATGGAGAAACTAAGGCACTCTTAAAGAGGGCAAGTACTTGAAGGTGGTCTAACCCAGACACCGTCTGCTATAGCGACTTCATTTGGAGAAGAGCGAGTCCCTGGAGTGAGTGTCCTGTTATGTCACTTCTGCAAGTGTAGCTCAGCATCCTGTTGCCCAAGAAGTGTCAAGTCCAACTTCCAGCTACTGTGATATTGTGAAAGGACAGCTGTTTATTCGGTCTTCTTTGGTGTTGGGAATCCAATCTAGGTCCTTGTGCTGGGGTATGGTTTTAAGCAATGTGTTTCAAATTCAAAGCTGCATCCTGTATTTCTCATGCTCCACTTCCCACTATTTCTTATTAGTGCCCTCTTAAACAATGGCACAGAAGAAATGCAGTGGGAAGATAGATGAGAAAAAACGAGACCGGGTCAGCAAAAGGTCCTGCTGAAAGGAAGGACCTAATTTGGGGGATGCTAATTTGGGGGTTGTGTTTACTTTGGAATTCCAAGGTATTATGTAGCCTCCTTATCACAGTTCTGGGACAGCCTGGCTGCTTACTGAAGGGTAGATTCACAAGTACTGTACAACTTTCCTGCTCACAGATTCTGCACCCACAATAATAACTTCCCCCCAAGTCACCTTCGTGTTCATATTTTAACAAAAATTTGGTATAGGTGAACAAGAAGTGTAAAGTAAAATTCCATATTCTGCCAGGTATTCCCTCTTATATCGTCATTCATACCATGGTTAACGTAACTGGATATTGAACTCTTGAACCAGTAGTATGTTGTCTTGTAACTTTCTCCACTGTGCAGGACAGAAAAAAACAGGTCTTTACATTTCCAACTGGCCTTCACAATACTAAAATAGCAGGTGAAAGGCTCTAAAACATTCACAAACTGTCTCCAGACATCACAACATTTACTTGCACCCACAAAAGTAAGCTTTCTGTCATTATTATAGTTAACTTATTAAAAGAAAAGGCTTATTTTGTCTTACAGTTTTGCAGGTTTTAATCCATTGGCCCACTGATTTTGGCTCTGTGACACAGTACATCATGGCAACAGTAGGTGCAGACAAAAATGCATGTTTTCAAAAGAAATATCTTTATGTTAGTCTTGAGTCCTCTGAGAAAGTGTTAGAATGAAATTAAATGTTAAGGAATTGTATTAGAAAAACGTTTATGAGTTGAGAATGAGAGAGAGCCAGAGAATGGTCTAACAGTCATCACACAGTCTGAAACTGAGTGGAGAGAGGGCAAGAAGATTGGTGTTTTAGGCTACTAAACAGTCTTAAGGAATATCAGCAAGATCATTGTGGATCCTTTAAGTCACCTGTCAGAGTAGTGCTCTCAAGGGTCAGCCTGCCTTATTATTAATACTGTGTCCATCTGTGGCTATATTAAACACATGGGTACAAAAGCGGCAAAGGGTTTCCTAATGTTACACCTGGGGTCTTGATCAATTTTTCTTCTTGAATTTGGCAACCAAAATCCAAGAGCTGGTTTTGCAATTATTGAAAATTTTCATTAGTTTCAAGTCTTGAAAGACATTGTTTGAAACAGACAATATGTTTAGGAGACATTGTTGTGTTTCCCAAATCTCCTTTAAGTCTAACAAGACGGGTTTCATATCAGAGAACTTGGTAAGTGTCCCCTTCTTTTGAAAGGTGCAATATTATTCAGTCTCATGTCTGGGAAATTCCAAGAGAAAGGGAGATGGATTAGTGAGATTTGGTAGAGGAGTGAGGGAGAGTACATTGGAGTCAGCTGTCACTGCCATAGTTTATCAGGGCACATGATACTCGAATATTTCTTGTGAATCAGATGTGGGCTTCATAAGAGAAAGAGTTGGGTGCCTGGACCTTTGTGAGGACTGCCTAGAAAGAAGATGAGATTTCAAGAGAGTTATTAGATAATACAGAGCTATAGATAGAAAAGTAACTGGGGAAATAGAATTCATTTCTTATCTAAGGTGAGCTACTTGTCATAATTTTCCTGTGACTTTTCCTTCTTTACTGCTGAAAGTCCCAAGAAGCCCTCAGTTCTGTCACACTAAGAGACACTCTTGAAGGGATCCTTCCACAATCCAGAAAATCACCCATAAGAGTAAGAGTCACGAAGTTTCACACAGATTCAGTGTACATAGGGGCAGTTTATGACCGTGCCATTGTTAAAGTAGATTTTTATTGGAAAGTACCTGGAAAATGATGAAGCAAGGTAATTTATACTATCCTTTTGGAGCATGGATTTGCTAGGTTGCCAAATTACCACAGAATAGGTGGCTTACACAACAGAATTTTCCCCTTGTAATTCTGGAGGCCAAAGTCCAAGGTTAAGGTTCTGACCAATTTGTTTCTGATGAGAGGCCATCTTACTGTCTTGCAGATGGCTGTCTTTTCTTTTTTTTCACATGACCATTTCTCTGTACCTGCTTAAAGACAGGGCAAGAGACAGGAAGGGAGGAGTGGAGGGAGCAAGATGAATGAATGTTTTTTGATATTTTTATCTTATAATCCTGTCCAATCAGAAACTCACTGTCATGACCTCAATGGTAATTACTCCTGCAGAGGACCCATCTCTAAGTATAGCCACACTGGGGGTTTGGCATTTTAACAAATGCGTGGAGAGTTCTTTGCACAAGAAGACAGTGATTCTAAAACACCTTTAAGGAGGAGATATGACTTTGCAGCCTGCTACAGTTTGTGCTTTAACTGTTCATCACTGGCTGCTCATATATGAATGGTTGGTTTGCCAGCCTTTGGCAGCACTGGTAGAAGGAGGGACCTTTAAGAGGTGGAGCTTATGAGAGGAAGTTAGGTAACTTGAGGACATGCCCTTGAAAGGCACTGGGGAACCCTGTTCATGTCTTCCTTTCTTTTTCAAATTCTTGGATGAGGTGAATAGCTTTGCTCTGTACATACTGTTGCCATAATGTACTACTGTGTCACAGAGCTAAAATCAGTGGGCCAATGGGCCATGGATTGAAACCTGCAAAACTGTGAGACAAAATAAGCCTTTCCTTTTTAAAAGTTAACATCAGTAATGACAGAAACCTTAATTTTGTGGGTGCAAGTAAATATTGTGATGTCTGGGGATAGTTTGTGAATCATTTAGAGCCTTTCACCTGCTATTTTAGTATTGTGAAGGCCAGTTGGAAATGTAAAGACCTGTTTTTTCTGTCCTGCACAGTGAAGTTACAAGGCAACATACCACTGGTTCAGCAGGAAAACCACACAGATTCTTCATATTTGGTCATCAGGACTTCAACGAGGCCCTAAAATTTGCAGTTATAGGAATTTACCAAAGGACAGTACTATTCTGATTAAGAAATGTGTTGTAGCTTATATTTATGAAATCTGAATTTTTAAAGATATTACAGTGTTGGTGAATCATAGACTATATATTCTTAAAAAATAAAATAGTTGAAAGATACCAAGTTTAAAAAACCAGGACATAATGCTATTTAAGGATAAAATGCTATTTAAAAAAAAAAACATAGACATGTACCTTCTATACCATCCACTGACTCTTCCAGAAAGCAAACCTGTTTTATTCTTTGAGTCCTATCTTAGTTGGAATTAGCTTCAGTTGTGAGCATGGAGTTACAGAAATCTCAAAAAATATTAAACATGTATGTGCTTTTCCACACATAAATTTATTTTTTTAAGAAGTCTAGATGAAGTCAGTTTAGGTTTGATGTAGTGATTTGTGTTGTGAGGATTACAGGCTCTTGATAACTTGTCCTATTTTATGTTCCTTCTGTTTTCTAAAGTCACTTCATGACCCAGAATGGCTACTTCCAGGGAACAGGAAGGACTAAAGAATTCAAATAAAATCACATCTTTTCCGTTTAAAGACAAAATCCAAAAGCTGTACACAAACATCTGCAAGACAAGTTGAAAAGATAATATTTTATTTTTTTTCTAGTGAGCCCATGCATGGCTCAGGGAGGGAGTGAAGGGTGAAGTAGAGATGGGGGTGCAAAGAGAGAGGTTGAGAGGTTTTATTATTATTATTATTCAGTAGTCAGCAAACTGTGGTTCATTGGTCACCTGCCTGGTTTTATAAGTAGAATTTTATTTGAACGTGGCTATGCTCGTTTTACCTGTTGTCTGATTCTGTGTGTTCCTTTAAGAGACTTTGTTAACATAATTCACAGGGCATACACTCTGCCTATGTAAAGTGTACAGTGGCTTTTAGTATTCACAGAATTTTTATCATGACAACCAATTCTAAAACATTTTTGTTGTCTGTCTTCAACCTCACATTGTTTAGTTAGCTCCCCAATCGCCTATCTCCTCCCTAGCTGGCCAGCCATCAATCTTGCCATCTCTATAGATTCGCCTATTCTGAACTTTTCATATAAGTGTAGTTATATAATATACAATCCTCTTTTTTTGGTGCAATAAGTATATAATTTTGTCAGTTTCAAAAGAAAAGATAAATGGTTGTATTTAATAGGAAACTGTCAGATGGACGAAATGTGAAACATTTTTTAGCACGGATCTTTGGAGGAGCCCCAGCCCCACACCAGTGCTGGAGTACACTGGAGTGCTAGTGCAGGTGTACACTCAGTTCCTGGTTTTTGCCATCATTGTGGGGCTGTTAATTTTCATGGTTAGTATGAAACAGAACAGAACTGAACCAAGCCAAACTGAACAGAACAGAATAGTACAAAGCAGAACAGAACCGGAGGGAAATGAAAGTAGGGCAAGTTAAAATGGAATCAATTTCAGTGTTCTTATCAGTGTTCAGCCATTTCTCCTGTACAAATTCTCTCCAAA